GGTGAAGGTGATGGAGCTGATGACAGTGCCAATGGTGATAGTGGGGTGGTGAAAGTTGAAGTGACAGTGGAAGTTGTGGTGATGGTGGCGAAAGTTGTGGTGCTGTTGACGCTGAAGGTGTTGGTGATAGTGACGTTTGTGGTTTAGTGGCAGGGATGCTGTTGGTAGTAGTAGTATTAGTGAAAGTCGTGATGCTTTTGGTGCCGGTAGTGATAGTGGTGTTGTTTGTTGTGGTGGTAAAAGTTTGAGTTGAAGTGTGGTTGGCGTTGATGGTGGTGTGGGTGGTGGCGTGGGTGGTAGTGATGATGAAAATCGTGGTGGTGGTGGTGGTGATGCCAGTGATGTTGGTGGTGTCAGTGGTTGTTGTTGTGGGGGTGGCAGTAATGGTGGCGAAAGTTAAAGTGATAGTGGAGGTTGTGTTTGTTAGGACGACCTAACAAACAGCCTCAGCAAGCAGGAGCTTGCAAGCGACAGCCCATATACGGCAGGCTATGGATCAGCCTACACGCGAGCTAACACATCATGCAGTTAATCAATCGATAACTTGAAATTCAAACGACAGTCAGCCGTTGAGTCACCAGCCAATCCTACCAGCGACTATTTCAGGAGAGGAACTGATTGGTTCAATGGGCATCATATTACACGGTTTGTTGTCCTAAATACGTTGCACCTATTACACTCAAAGACTTTTGCTGTTGCACACTTCTTGTCGTGTTCTTCCTTTGGGGACTCACATAAGGCGTTATTGGGCGATGATATCTCGGCCTCGGCTTCCGTTACAACAGTGGGGTCAGTGGCGCCGATGGTGTTGGTTGTGGTAATGAAAATCGAGGTGGTTCTGCCAGTGGTGTTGGTGGTGTCAGTGGTGATAATGATGAAAGTTGTGGTGATAGTGGTGGTTGTAGTGTAAGTGGCGTTGCTAGTGTTGGTTTTGGTAGTGCAAAACTTTGTTGGTGGTGCCAGTGGTGTTGGTGATGTCAATGGTGAAGGATGTGGTGACAGTGGCGTTGAAGGTGGTGGTTGTGGTGTAAGTTGTGGTCGTAATGCGGTTGGCGTTGATGGTGGTAGTCAAAGTTGTGGTGAAAGTGGTGTTTGTGGCGCTAACGGTGTTGGGGGTTTGAGTGGTGTTGTAGTTGGTGGTGGAAGTAGTAGCGGTAGGAGAGAAAAAGAACGCGCAGGTGGCGATGG